GAGGTTTCTGCCTAATATGATATCAAGCTATTGCTCATGACTATGGAAATTCGCATAAGCATTAAAAAAAATACCCCTAGCTGAAAATGGCAAAATGGAAATTGAAAACAAGGTAAAATGGGACACAAAGGTGTATTTTGAAGAATTCCATGGAAATAAATTATAAATTAGATGGGCCTTTTAATCGAATACTATTTTCTCGCATTGGAACGGTGCCTGTGCGCGATATTGTAATTCAAAGTAAATGTTTGGGTGCTTGAATGTGTGCCCTCTCCCAAACGCACACACCCTTACACGGGCATAGAAGTGGGGTTTTTCCTTTGTTCTCGTATACTCAAATTTTGCAATGTCGCACACTAATTTCTAAATGCTCTTTTTTTAACCAGAATTAATTTCCTGGGCTGAAATTCGGACTTAATATCCCCTTTTTGAAACTCTTCCATTTGCGACACATCAACCCACCTTGGAAATTCCTAGTTTTTGAGTAAAATCCATATATGTATTTCGTGAAAAACTTGTGGGGTACCAAAACGGTACCTGCAAGTCAGTGCGCATTCCTTGTGGGGTACCTCCCATTGTTCCGGTACCCCATAAGGCAGTGTTTATACGTTCACGGAGTGTGACACTTAAAATGACGAATTTGAAGGTCGGACACCCCAACCTACCCACTGCCACCACGGACCCTCAGTGTTTGATATTCTATTTAAACCTCTCTGGGCTTTCGGACTATCCGTATTCAGTTCAGACATTTCACGACTTGCTCACGGTTGCAATTTTTCAGCGAGCTAGACAGCCTATAGCTATTCTGGGTAAGAGATGAGATGTCACAATGAATGCATTTCGAGAAGCCCACGTTTGTGTCTGTAAATGTACGTGTAGGCTGCTGGTTTACCTCAGCGGTAACTGATTTATCTTATCTGCCAGCTTTCCAAGTTTGCTTGAAAAATCGCGACTGGGCCTTTGATTGAGGACGTCTGGACTCGAGTCGCTTTTTTTGTTACTCCTGACTCAGTTCAGACTCGTGGCGTTTAGACTCGGCTGAGCTCAGACACAGCTAGCGGGTAAGTCAGACTACTTGTCGAACTCAAATCGAGTCCATTACAAAATGTTTAAACTTCAGAAAAAAATATATTTTCAAAAACAAATTGTCCCACATCTGTTGTCTGATCACTTTTATCTCTTGCCTTGCGAAGCCTCTTTAGCGTAAAGCAGTAGTAGCTCACTCTAAGTACTGTACCTGTTATGCCATAATTATACCATTGAATGACTTAAGACATTTAATATAAATTATTCTGTCAATGGTCGATATATTTATGTGTTCTGTTATAATAACCCTTTTACGACAGAACTTGGACTTGACTACATTCCTGGCAGTTACTGTCATGTTGCGAAAAAAACCCATAAAGCTTACTTGAATAAATACATAGCAACCAAACTTTCACATATAAAACTTACCCCTTCGAGCAACTTTCGCTTGAGCTACGGGCAGGATGCAGACTCGTGATTCCTCACGAAAACAGCTTTAATGTAGTTGCCAGTGGTCTCCAGTTTAGCATGTTCTTGGCCTCAGCTGATTCCAAAATGTGCAGTTCGCTTCGCGGTGATCGCCTGCCAGGTTTGCTTCTATACCTTCTATTAATAGAACACTGGAAAAAACCCAGATGTGCAAAGTTGTGAACAGATTGCACCACTTTTTGAAGGGGTGATCTCCAAGTGGATCAGATTTAGAGATTCTGTATTTGTAAGATTTTTTTCAAATTGAGGTATATTTTTAACAGTTGAGAATGTGATGTTTGGAGTGAACAAACTCTGTTGAATAAGTCCCGCAGTGTTCAATAGGGACTGTTGCTTTGTTTACTATAGAAACTCGTTACAAATTGAGTTACTGTAGTTTACACCCCCACCATACAAATGGCATTTTCTGGGTATAAAAGGAAACCAGCAGCCGATCACCGCACACATATTTGAAATCAACTTCTGCTGAACAACATGTTACTTTTTTTCCCGACTCTGAGGTATTTGTGTCTTTAATACACCAGGGTTCTAAGGGCCTAAACCCCGCCGAAAGTCTTCTGGACGAGCCGTAAGTTTTACAAGTGTTACTTTTTATATTTGGTCATTCATTAATAATTACAAATGTATAGGGTCATGTAAGATTTTTTAACCAAAGCAGATTTTGTTGGTCTACAAAACCCCAAAAAAATATTAATCCCGCGGGTGAATGTTTTAATTTTTGCAATTAGTAATTAAGTTATTAAACATTCGATTTCGAGCGATGTTTATACGAAGCTGATGCTCAGCTTTAACAAAATGCTGTATATGGCAGCTTAACTATTTCAACATTGAGGTCACTGCCTCTTAATTTTGCTTACCAACACGTTTCTGATACAAGCACAATACAGAATGTGAATGGCGGTGTAAATGAAAGTATTAAAATTACTGAATTTAGATAATTTAATACTTTATCGACTCCTTAATGATGACATGTGCGAAGTTACTCCTCTTTAGGCTTCTAGCCAGGCATACAATAGGATATCGGGCCGATACGCTTAAAACAAAATCCGATACGCTTGAAGTTAACCGATATGCTATCGATACGCTTCACATTTTCCGTGACAAAAAAAAACTACCCAAGGTTTTCTCACTACTTGTGTATTAAATGTACTGGTATAAAATAAGATCTGTTGCTGAAACGAATTATCAATTGTTACCTGAGGCAAATCATTTTTTTAAACGAAGAGTGGAAGCACATCCCACGAAAAGATACCGAGGTTCGCTACCGAGCGCTACACTGCCGCGCTGTCCGGCCGGCGGGCCGTGCGTGAGCAAACTCTTTCGTTGGAATCCGATGTGATTGCATGCGTGCCCCGGTCATGCATGCAACACGCACGCTGTATGATCGGACCAAACCATTTTTTGGTAATAAAGGGGTGTATTGTATTGGGAACAATAATTATCAATATTTCCATAGAAGAAAAGAAAACTAGCACTTTTTATAGAGTCTGAAACATTTCTGTATACGACAGTCAGTTGTTCTACGTCACGAATATTTTTTTTTCTGGAAATGTATTCATGAAACGACGTAAAACGCAAAACTGGCACTAAATCACCCCTTACGAAATTAATGGATTCCCCCCTCGCATCGTGCTAGCTGTCTTTTGAAGAAAGTACGATCGTATATTTGATGTTTTGACGTTACTACTCGTTTTAATCACAACCATTTGATAAGTTTTGTTGTAAGAAAGGACTTATTTATTCTTAGGACAAAACAAATCAGCATCTGTTGCCACAAAGCAAGATTTGTAGCGCTCCAGTCAGACGCCACATGGTGGGTTGCATACTCTCTCAAGTGCTGCGGGAAAATGTTGTCATTCGCATGACAGGCTGATGCCGGGCCATGCGCTAACTTGCCGGAGGCAATTCCCGGTGTTTATTTCTCATCGTCAATGTTCATATTTATCGCCAATCATTATCATCTTAGTCGCGCTTTAAATTGTGTTTCTTCAAGTTTCCACCACTTTTTGCAATTTTCCTGTAAAAGGTACCTTATATCATTATCAGTAATTAAAATGGAAAACAATGAAAACTTGAGACCTACATTTTTCCTTATGAAAAAAAGATCTTGTTTATAAACAGTTCTCTTATTAATCACTGTTGAGTTTGACTATTATGGCAAAGATTTCATGAAAAGGTAGACTAGGCGTAATGATTGCTTTTTGAAAGACATCTAATGCTGACTACCGTGTTGCATTTGTTTTACTTGTAATTGATTTTTTTTTTTTTTTAAATAAAATCCAGGCCCACTTTCTGCAGCATACTGTTACAGTGTTGGGGTTTTCTGCTCTTTTTCCGATCATAAAATATGCTTCCAAATGGCCTTAGATTGCACCACAAAGCATCTAGAATGTCAAAATTTTTCGGGGCCCTTGAGCGGGCCCCGAACCCCACGCCGTAAGGGCTCCATACTCGCAAGATCCATTCGAGAATGTCACATCCCAACATTACAAACTTTTCACATGAGAACAACTTTTGTGCACCTTATAAAATTACTTCAAGTTTGTTTCAATTTTGAAAATTGCTACTGATCCGTTTCATTCTAAATGTTATCATGGTTAGAGACGTTTTGCAGAAACCTTCAAACGAGATAACATTTGATAATTCAAACGAGATAACATTTGATGATTGATATAAGATTTGAGGCTTTGCATGGTGGGGTATCGGTATCGTTTCGGGTTTTGCGGTAACACCATGTGGTAATAACTACTGCTTAGAAGATATTAGTTCTGAGAAGAACTTGTCCTGCTTATTATCAACTTGCTAAGTAGTTTTTTGTTCTGTTTAGAACAAAAGACAAGTTCTTTTAGAACTTACAGCAAAGACAAGTTCTTTTAGAACTTACAGCAGGACTGTTCTAAACAGAACAAAAAACTACTTAGCAAGTTGATAATAAGCAGGACAAGTTCTTCTCAGAACTAATATCTTCTAAGCAGTAGTTATTACCACATGGTGTTACCGCAAAACCCGAAACGATTTGATGATTGCTTTTACAACAGTGGTTCAAGCGTCTACAATAAGAATGTTTTACATGTAAAAGTTGATAGGGAACCTGGTTGTTCCTTTTTTGAAAGGTTTGGTGCATGTTTCTAATTATTTAGGGAGGTTTTTAAAGTTGTTGCTTTTCATTGTGAGCACTGTTCTATTTATTTATTGGTACTGCTGGCTGACGATTGTGTTACTTATTCCTACAAAAATTGAGCAATAAACACTAAGTTACAAAAGGTAACTCCACAGAAACGAATATAAGGAAGTTCATTCGTTTAAAGCATATTACCTCAAGTTTGATGATGCAATGACTGCTAAACAAAATATTGCCCAGTCAAAATAAAGTCACTGAACCTATAACAAAAAGAGCTGAGAGAAAAAAATCTAAGAATTTAAACAAACTTCAATTAAAGAACCCGTAATGTTCAGTGATAATGTAATATGACCTCTACTGTCTGCTCTTACAGATTTGGATTGTCTCCTGGTGGAGCTGTCGTCTTCAACGTTACATCTCTGGACGCGCAAAGCATAGGTAGGTGGATCAGTATAACTATACAAAAGAAACCTGAATGCAAAAATGTATATACGCCTGTGAAATTGCATAGTTCCCTTGAGTACGGCACATTGATGGGATTGTTCATTGGATGATAAAAGCAATGAATTGACCTATCGCCGTTTGCGAGTTATCCACGCCCCTTGGACAACCCTACGAAATTTGTGTACACTAAGTTTTGTTTGTCTCGGATTTTGCGCGTTCCGCTACCCTTTGTATAGACCGCTTGCAGACGCGTTCGATAATCGACGCGCGAATGCGCGCGACGCCATGTTGTGGGTCAAGCGCATATCTATCCATGCACATTTTGTCCCACAACATGGCGTCGCGCACCTTCGCGCGTCAATTATCGAACGCGTCTGCAAGCGGTCTATGGGACAATCATAGATATGGAATAAAAAGGACTAGATCAGCAGTGCGTACAGACGCGCGTTCTGCGATGGGTGGCGCCATTTTTCAGTGCGTGGGGCAATAGTTGTGTTACGCGCACCTTTATTTCCGTAGGTTTGCATGGTGAGATATATTTTTATGTCTGTAAAAGTAATAGTTTTGACATGTAGTGGTTATTTCCCCAATAAAATTCAAAATGAGTAATCAAGCTGCAGGTTCATTTCGAAGTTCGGTCCATTTTATATGTCGTATTTATTTCCCGTTTTAAAATGCTGGTGCGCGTTGCTAAAAAAAACACCTTGCATCCAGTTGTTTAAGTGCTATTTTCTACATTTTTAAGGGGCAACACCCAGAAAATTATTTTCTCCATTGTCCCTCCTCAGGACATTACATACGCCGTTATCAGATACACTTTTTTACTGTTTGATACTAGGGGGGTGTACGCCCCTTCCCAGTCGTTCACCAAAAAATACAACAAATAAATTTGTGTTATTGTGCTCTCCTCTAATAGCGTATCCAGCATCTCAAAATCTTCAAAAAGGCGCAAGTATCTCACAACGTTTAAAAAATTTAATAGGTAGCACCTGAAATAATGAGGAGGAGTTATTTGGTTTTTTTTAAATCGTTCGCACGGTTTACCCATCTCGTTTCCCGATGAGTAGCATGGTTTTGTGTATTGCCCGTTGCAAAATATTACTTTCACTGTCCCAATTTCGCTTCTATCAGCTTTCCTGATTTCGCTTTTAAGATCTCAATGATGTTGCAATCTACCAATGCCCCCTCCCAGCCTGGTCACGCCACCGCTCTTAGCGTCAAATTGAGGTACAATATCCCGACGCTTTTTCGAAATATTCACAACAAACACCCCCATCATCCGTACCCCTCAACCCATCCTCCTAAAAGGTTCAAATCCGCCAATGCATGCAGAAGGAACATTATGGGACCGGGAGTGTAATTGAATTTCATTCTTTAAACGGTTTTGAGGGGCACGTATTATTGTCATTAAAAGTCATACATATAATATGCAATCCAAGTACTTTGTTCTCATCCCAAAAAGTATAATAATACATTGTAACACCAATCTCCAAAATCATCCGTTCAAATATTTCACAGTTTTAATTTTAAATAATTCAACGGTAATTTAAAGCAGGTTTTTAAATTCTACGTTTTCATTGTCTAAAACAATGTTTTTATACACAATTATATCAGATAAGCTCACATAATATTTGGAGATTTTTAGCAGCGCGCACTACCGTTTTGAAACGAAAAATAAATACGAGGGGAAAACAGAGCAAACTTCAATCTGACTATCCAGCATTATAATACATTTTGAATTTTGTTGGAGACATAATGACTACTGGTCAAAAATGTTACTTTTGCGGACATAAAAATGTAAGTTTGTGCAAAAACCTACGGGAATGTAGGTGCGCGTAACGCACATTTGGTCTGACGCACTACTGCGCGTAGAGCATCCATGACGGAACGGGAAAATGTGTGCACACTCTATGGCGCGTCTGCACGCCCTGCCGATCTAGTCTTTTTATTCTATATTTACGGGGACAATATTTCACAAGCTGCGTTGACGCGATTCTAACGCGATATGTCAGTTGGGCACATATAGTCATCATGGATCAATTTCACATCCAGAGCAAGAATTCAAAACGAAAAATAAAAAAATAAAAATTTCACATCCGTTAGCAAGAATCGAAATGTGTAAGGCAAAAATGAACAAGGCTCCTTATTAAGTGCATAATTTTATGTTGGTGAAAACAACGTTTTCGCCAAGTCGGTTATTGAACATCAATAGTCAGCATCATTTGGTTTCGGAGCCAGGCTACGTGCATTGCAGTGATATTTTGCGTGCGTGGAGCCAGTAACCGGTACCATACTTCGCTTGAACCCACTGCCCTGCAGTACCGTACGTACTTGAACAATAACCGACTTGGCACCAAGTCTAGGCCTGTCGGTACTTAGACAATAATCAGCATTTTCTTCTTTAAAATCACTATATAACCACTACGGTACTTCTGGAGCAAGGTGATCAAGGGGTGGACTATTTTCAATTCTTACGAATAGGGATTTTGACTGTTTTCCCCACATGTAAGTAAAGTAGGCATAACCATGGCCTAACCATAGACAAAGGAATGTTGTGTTATCATGACCCGTTTATGTTAGCATGCGATTAATCACTCTTCATATGCGGAACTGTCGTATTTCCGACGTGCATATTTTTTCGTTCATCTGATCTGGGAAAAGAACGGTGAAATGACCAATTTTGCAAAGAATGATAAGAACCGACCACGCATGACAATGTCTTTAAAAAGTCAAATACAGCGTTTAATATAATTTAGCTCAAACAATATAGCTCGTCTAAACGGTCAAAACTTACCGACTTACCAGGGCAGCCCGTCGCATGATGATGAGCCGTGAGAACGAAATAGTTTTGTATACGTGACGACGCACCCATGAGATAAAGGTTATTCGCCAATTCATGAAAATGCAATGTATGTACGTCGCGTTAGGGATTCGCCACTTCGTGAAAACACAAAATCCAGAGGGCAACGGATTCGCCGCTTATGCAATTAGCGTAAGTAATTAACATTGTCTGGTCTTAAAACTTTGCAGAAATGTTTAGGACAAAAAGATAAATCAAAGTAAGCACAAAAACCAAAATTGCAAAAAGATCTGATTTTCGATGGATTCGCCACATCGTGAAAACGCCGACGAAATATATGTAGAACAGCAAACAGTTGCAGCCCTTTCGAAATTTTGTTTCGTTTGTTTTGATTGTTATTCCACCAATACTTTTTTTCAAAGGACATATACTAATTTCAATTTGTGTCTGTAGGTTTTGCGATTACATGTACATGTACATAGAGTTTACAGGGAGTTTATAGCTTCCCTACTAATTGAACTGGAACTTACGGTACACATATCTCACTGCCACCGCCTTAAGGCGCTGCTACTCTTTGCAAATGTAGTGGCTCTACATGCAAGTGAGTGAAGTAGACTTACCCATACATAAGAGTGGGGTTTGGAGTCTACGAGCGATTCTTACCTGTTGAGCATCCCTCCTTTCTTCCCCACTTGTTTGATACTGGGGATAAATCCTTTTGGAGCACGATGAAGGCAAGACAGCGTTCGTGACACTGAGCAGTGTGGGTAGCATTATTGAAGGCCATGTTGAATAAACTCTTAGCGAATGGAACCGCCGGTAAGGGGAATGTGCAAATGTGGTGGCTCTTCAGTCGGGTAGCGCTCTTAGATCCCCACCACAATTCGGGGTGCAATTTCACAATTGTATTAATATATAATAATTAAATATTAATATAGGTTTTTCCGGCCAATTTCCTAAAATGTTCATTCACTTCTGAAAATCGTCATACATTCTCGTCTGAATTTGAGAATCGCTCTAAACACGCGTTTCATTTTCGCTACCAGAGCATTCGATTCCATTTCAGTTCAATCAGTTAAGTGCTTGAGCAGCACCTTTCGTTTATGTCCGTTCAGATTCGTTTACAAGATTTTTTGTCGCTTTTAGAGGGCGATTTCAAACATTAACCATTCTATTTCACTTTTAGTTTAATGTTTTGTGATGTAATCAAATTAGGTTTTGCCCTTCACCGACGTTTAAACACTGTATACTCAGTGTGTTACCTCCCGAGTGAAAGTTGGAAAAAAATTACTCGGTCGGGACTCAAACCCATGACCTCCTGCTTTCTAGTGCAGATGTCTTACCATTCGACCACCGAGCTAACGGGATCGGTTGGCTGGTTCGAATCTGATGTACAAATTGTACATAGCAGCGGGTACTGCATAAATTTCATTTACCGCAAAATTCCCTCTTATAAGAGAAAAACGTACTTTTGATTGAACATTACGATATTGTATTCCAGAACTCTACGCGAAAAGATATGCTCGCGTAATTGAATGCAGATGTAACGTAATTGGCCGTCTGTTTCTCGAAACCGCATGCACGGACAATGAAATCGATTGAACTTTCGTTGAATTGAAACTGGATTAAAGACGTGCATTGATATTCAGACACAAATTAATGACCGATTTTCTGACTCAAAGCCTAAACGACTCCTCAACCAATTTTACACAAGACCATGCACGATATATACGCTCAACACACTCAATAAGCATTTCACCTATGTCAAGAATTGACCTCATCCCCTAAACATTTTTCTAGTATGTTCTATGAAATTTCTAATTTTATATCAGAGCAAAAAAATCATTTTATTTCACATACATGTACCTTTTTGATGATTTTCTACTGAAATTTCCTTTTGTGAATCAGTCAGCCATATTGGCAGTGATGTCAATAATTTATCAAACCGAGGGCGCTATTTCTTTTTACCTCTGAATGGGGTATAGTCAACTTGGCATGATTTCAATTCTTGCGTCCCGTATGACCTGCAGTCCCATCCCGAGAGTAATTCAGGCTATTGAAACCCGCTTGAACTTTTACAGGTAAAACTGATATGTTTCAGTGAGTCCGTGTTTGGTTCCGAGACCTGATGATTGGACGTTTCCTTAGCTAATACGCGTAAATATCACGTGACAAAAGCTGCGCAAGATTCCTA